ACACATTGGTTTGGGATAACAGTTACTGTGTATGCTTGTATGTATAGGACCTCATTTGAATTAGAGTATCATAAATTATTTAGGTATTTAATTTCAGCATTTTATATTTGATTTCTAGAATTAGAATTTTGCAATGTTGGATTATATGAATGATTAACTGGCAATGTTATTTGATTATAAGCCTCTTGGGCCTTTCTTTAGCAAAAGAAAGTTTTGATTAATGTCTATTTAATATCTCTTTTACCAGAATTACATCAAAGAGAGAAAATATATAAGAATTTATTATTTTCATTTAACAAAATCAATGGTGTACAGAAATCTCATCCCTTATTCGCTCTTGTATATTCTATGGTACCCAATAAAACTAGCTATGCTAAATGATTAATTCCTAAATTTAAAATGAAATGTCTGCTACAAAACTAAATCATGGCCAGTAGACTGCTTGGCATAAATCCTTCACAGGGTGCTATAACCTTTATCGTTTTTGAAATGTGCCCCCATCAAGGAGCCCTCAGGCAAACGTACAAGGGACCCATATGACATTTACATAGTCATTGTGTCAGATTAGACTTTGTGATCCTCCCACATCATTAGGCAAAAACCTGAGCAGAGCAGATGCATGACAGATTGCCCAATGCCTGATGCATAGCAAATACGTATAGAAACAATAGGGCTTTATTCACACTTGGGCCCCATGTCCAAAGGGTTCCTTGACAGAAGGCAATCTTCAAGTTCAAGCCCTTCAAACTAGAAGGTGCAAGACATGCATTCTTTTCATTAGCATGTAATTATCCATTAGCCAGCATGATCTTCCTCTCCTCCCAAGGGCTAAATAGCAGGCAGCAAATATTTTGCAGCTGGCTTATTTCTGGGTAACTGAGAGAGCCGAGTGATGTTCATTTGCTTAGAGTGTAAGAAGTTATGTTGCCCTTGGTCCCCAGCAGCTGAATTTTATTCATGTATATTAAAAAAAAATTGTTTTTGATGTTGTCAGCATATTATCCTAAAAATCTCATGTATAAAATGATACATAGCAGTGTAGAGGGAGGTAATTTGAAAACATTTCAGTTTCTTTAGGTAGGAGGTGGTTGATATTGTAGGAGAATTTGACTACTTTTTTGTTGTCGAGATTTGGACTTTCCATCTATATTTAAAAATCATTCATGAATTGCAATGACTAGGAGATAAAGTGGCAAAGTCATAGGGTATAGTGACCAGGGAAAGTGTCAGTTGGTCTGAGTTCTTGCCCTAAAGGCAGAGGGAAATAATTATTCACATTTGAGTAAGTCCCTTGACTTTCTCTGTTTTCTTTTCCATGCCTATAGGATGACCATAATTTAACATCCGAACCAGGACATGTTTGAGAGTGAACAAGGGTCTAACAATAATTACACCAGGATGACAGGTCCGAACCTCAACTGTACGAGGTAAACCAGAGTTTGTATTCACCTTGATCTACAACATGAAATCTGGCATCAAATAGTCTCCACTCTCTAGATTAAAAAGTTATGATTTCAGGTCAATCTTTCTTTACTAATATACTGTCAAAGAAGGACATAGCTTAAAGATCAAAAAGGGATAAGTGAGGCAGTTAAGTAACTAGAAGTCAAGAAAATGAGCCTTCCTTTTGCACTCTTACACCATCCAACTGTTTATCATGAGAGGAGAGAAGATCGGTTTCTCATTATTAGCCTTTTGAAAAATATCGTGTGTTATTTCAAAAGTAGTCCTATTTTATTCATGAGACCTTGTAAGTTTATTGAAAGTGTTGAATTTCCTGATAATCATTTTAATTCTCTATTTCTCCCTCACTTCTCCCTCCCTCCACTTTTAATACACTATCTCTGTAGTAATTGTCCCCTCCCTTCTGTGCACATGTGTGCATGTGATACATACACACAGACAGACACAGTTGTACAAAGATCCAGTAGTGGATAGAAAGATAATAACAAAGTACTTGTTAGCTCCAAGATAGCAGTTCCCAAGAGGGGGAAAATTCAGGAAATAACAGAAATACTTTGAATATTTAACACAAATCAAGTAAATAAGAGGGAAGTGATTCAAGGGCCTAGAATATTCATGTCCCAATTCTAGATATTTCCATCTCCCAAGGGAGAAGCTGGCATTAGAATAGTCTTCCAAAAAGTCTTCAAACCTCTGAAGGAATTGAGACGGTTAAAAAAAAGAATCTCATCCTGCTATTAACAATCAATCTATCACATGCATTAACTCAGGAAAGGAACTGGTGAGCCCTGGCACTGCCTCCTCCTTCTGGGGCAATTCTGAGGGGGCTGGACAAATAGAAAGCTCAGCCACTAGCTGGGTTTGCCAATGCCATTGCTGAATAAGCTCAGAGAAACTGGTGCAAGAGAGGCCAATAACTTCAGAGAGGAAGGTTTGGAAAACAGGTGGGGAAAAATTTATTTCCCATGTGGGGTGGGAGAGGGTGGTTAGGTATCAGGCTCAAGATGTAAGAACCACCTTCTCCACCATCAGATGGACACCTAGAGTTTTACAGAAGAGGTTCAGGGGGGTATGTGCTATAGAGCAGGCAGGGAATGAGAGATGATGGGTGGGGGTTTGGTAGGTGTTGATCCCATGATCATGGGCAGAGAAGGGGATGGAATGGGGTCTCCTAGGCATTCTGTTGCTAGCAGGGTTTTTCTGGATGGGCGGTTGGAATGTTCTAGTCACTATAAAATATCTTCGTTAATGCTCAAGAAAGTGCAATAACAAATAAGAACAATGAGTTTCAGTTAGATCAAGAGTTAGGTAATCTTCTCTATTTCTCATTTTAACTTTTGGAGTCTATAGTTGAGCAAGAGGTTTCCCTGACATTGCCTCAAGGCTTACTGGCAACATATGCAACCGTGAAGAAAGCAACTTTATAGTAAGTAAATAAATAACTTTAAAAAAAAAAAAATATATATATATATATATATATATATACTTGAATTGTGTTTTACAAGTTTCAGGGCACTTTCACATATACTATTTCCTTACAGGCACAATTATGGAATACTTACCCTTTTTACATTTAAGAAAACTGAAGCTAAGTGAGGTTAAGTGACTTGCCCCAACATATATAATAAATAAATGGCAATTCTGTATTTGATTTGAAATCTTTCTATTCAGCTAAAAGTAAGGCTACTGGAGACCTTGGGGAAGTATATACATACTGCTCAAGAGGATAAGTGCAATCTTGTGTGAATTTAGGGTAACAGACAGGATGACTCCAGAAAGTTACTAAAGAAACTTAAAGTGTTATATTTTAAGATCACAAATTTTCCCCTAAGTCAAATAGTTTAATTCTGGATAGGAAGAATTGCAGTTTCACTAACAGATTCAAAAATGTTTAAGGCTCAATTCAAGTATGTAGAACTTAGCCCTTCCAAAATAGCAATTACTATAGCAAAAGATTACAAAAGACTCTACTCATGTGGAAGAATATATTTCCCTCACTTCTCTGCTCTGCTCTGGTGCAACCAACCCTTCCTAACCATCTTACTTTGTGCATTTATCTCAGCAGCATTTCTAATGAGCTGACTCACTGAACTCCAGCCACCAAAAGAAAAAAAAAAAAAAAAAGAAGACAGACCTCTGCTAGGAGTGAAACATTTGCAAAGAGGGACAGGTAGTATGAAATAGAACCAGAAAATCATTCACACATCATCTACATTTGACAGATACTCACCACAGTTAATGGTTTTTCTTTTAAAACAATATGGAAAAATGTTTGGATTACATTTTTTTTTAATTCCTTTACAAAAGAATTCTATGCTTCAGTTCTTAGAAATACTCCTAAATGTGATTCATACAATTTTCTGAAATAGTAAGCAGCATGTATAGAAAATAACAAGATTTTTTCCTCGATCATTACAAATCTTATTGTGTCTCCAGGTCACCCTTCAGAACTTTGTTTTCATTGTATAAGACACTTGATATAGACATTTTATTTTATTTTATTATTTATTTATTTATTTGACAGAGAGAGAAATCACAAGTAGGCAGAGAAGCAGGTAGTGAGAGAGAGAGGAAGAAGCAGGCTCCTAACTGAGCAGAAAGCCTGATGTGGGGCTCGATCCCAGGACCCTGGGATCATGACCTGAGCCAAAGGCAGAGGCTTTAACCCACTGAGTCACCCAGGCACCCCTGAATGTGGACATTTTAAACAGCTGGCCCCAGTAAAGTGTCTGGAAGTTTCTTTTAGCAAAGACAGCCCAAGTATCAACCCATCAACTGCTAACATTTCCCTTGCTTCTAAAAAATAAGTTGAGTAATTCCATATTCCTAATACTAGGATCTTATTGGGTCTTACTAAATTATGAATAATCAAACTCCTGAGATTATGTCTCTTGAGGGGACTTCTAACAGAGATCTTGAATCTGCTATTGGATTTGATCATTCATTGCTTCTGCGTCTAAAATTTTTATCATTTCCTATACCAGAAACTTAGAAAACTGCTACCAGCTTGCCAAGATGACCATAATGTATCTATCAGTTTGACCAAAAAGGCTTCTTCCAGACTCACCCTGATCTCTATTTTCTTAGAAGATTTCCTTTTGAAGGTTTGTAATGATGAATTCTTTCTTTGCCCCTTTGAGATGCGATTTTTTTAAAGCTTCTCACCAGTTTTACAAACTGGAATACCTTTCTCAAGGACCTGGGAAACTTCTCTTGAAATGTAATCATCAAGGAATATAGAACCCATACTTCCTCATCTCTGGTTGTGCAGGAGCAGGGAAGGATCTTAACTTCAGTGGACTCATGGCTCCCAGCTGTATTTGGATCATGGTGTGTGTGTATACACCCCAGACAACAGTTCTACTCATGGTGTTCCTACTTTAATTCTACCTGCTAGTAGTCATTTTTGATAAAAGTAGGCTCAGGCAATCCTGCAAAAATGGTTCATAACTTATGCTAAACAGAATAACAAAAAAATACTTGGAACTCCCTGAACAAAATTCCTAGGGGAATCAGGTCTCTTTATTGTTGATCTGCAAGGCTGAAATCTATCCCCAGCACACGTATCATAGCAGGAACTTCATTTTTATTCTGTAGTAGTTAACAGTCAATTGGGTCATTCTCTTGTACTTTATCTACTTGCCAAATGGTGTAATGTAAGTTGAAAGTGGTAGGCCTGTGGAGGAGAATGAAAAAGTAAAAATAATTATTTTTAACAGTGTAAATGGTCACTATTGTTATTTATTTCCTTATGTTAAAGAGAACTAGAAAAAAATATATTTTAAACAGGTGATAGAGCAGTACAAAGGGAACGTAAAGAATCTAATATTGTCTGTTCTTCCAAAGAAGAGTCAATATAATCCATTCCTTCACTCTGCATTGGCTCTACACTTCCTCTGAGAGTAATAAAAACAAAACAATGTCTCCAAGTAGACGAAAACAAGTGCTGAGGTTCCTTACCCTCATGCAACATGCAGGTTACTAGAAATAAATATAACTTGTACAATATTCAACCCAAAGTGGGTAATGGCCATTACCTGATGTTTTCAGGGATGTTTATTAAGTTATATAGGAAAGTGTTTGGTATTTCAAGACAGGAAGTGACTTATTCTGGTGAATAATTTTTAGAACAGTCCTTCTATTACTATAATGCACAAAAGAACATAAATCCCATAGATCCACCAGAGAAAATATAAACATAGAAGGCTCAGATTTATAGAGAGAGAGATACAGAGACATGCATCTTTTTGCAGCTATTTTTCTTAATAAATAATATAGGGACATTTACCTTTGTCAACTCAAACATAATATTTAGGGAGAATAGTTCCAAGAAGATTAGTAACAAAAACTAAAATTACCTTGATTAAAAATATGAAAAGCGAACATCTTTGTACCAATACTACAAAGAACAGAGAAGAACAGAATGGGACAAACAGAAAGAATCCCGATTTATCTGAATTTTTTCTCATGGTAAATTGATAAAAGGAAGTATTTCTCAAAGCTAGGTCTTCATACTGCAGTGTTATCAGAAGAGCTACTTTAAATTTTAAATTCTGTGTCTCCCCCCAAAAAACCTATTAAAATAAAATCTTGGGGTACAGAGCTAATATCCACAGGTGAACTTTATGTACACCCACATACATAAAGTTCACCTGTGGATATTAGCTCTGTACCTCTGAAATGTGGGTGTGCAAGGAATTTTATCTCCTATGCTTCTTAGTTCTCGTATATCCATCTGGACTCATCTCCATCTAAGTTTCTTAATGAAAAGATAGAAAATTGTGTTTTTCTCTGATTTTTCCTTTTTTCTTCCTTTCCTATTCCTTTTTTTTTCTCTTCTTTTTATCTTGTTCTAGTAATATTTAAAAGATTTTTATCAACATGTGAAACAGTTAAAATACCCACTGTAAAAGTTCTGTAGTTTGTTTTCCAACAAATGTAACTTCCAGAATTATTTAATATATGCTCCAGATATAGACTATGGATTTTATTATTTATCTCTGAGAAAAGATCCCTTTTCAGATAAAGAAGCCACTTATGATATGAGAAAATGAGCTCTTTTGTCTGACTGCCACATGGCAGAGCACTACATAAGTAATTCTAAAATGGTGTTTCATTTATAAGAGGAAGTGAATGCACATGTCTTACTTTGTTTTACATTATGATTCAGTTTATAGGCTGCTCTCACAAGTTTGTAGAGGTAGAGCATCAGTAGTAGTATGACTCTTTGGAATGATCGATTTCTTAGGGTGAATAAAGGGGAACAAAATATGTCTTCCCAAAATGTGCCACTTTGGCATATTCATTATTTTGAATTAAAGTTACTTAAGATACAGCCAGAGTAAGAAGGACTCTCTGACCCTTTGCTGTCCTCCTAAAAACAAAACATAAATCTCTCATGTGTTAGATATCCTCCCTGTACCAGGAACACAGAAGGCATCCTTATCACCACAGACAGAGAATTAAGGGCCAAGAAGACTATATAAACAAACCATGTCATTTACTCTCCATTTTACTACCCTAAGGCCTAACTTCTTTGTTTTGATAATTCTTCATGGATTTATTGGTTTATCTAAAAGTTGTAAACTGCCTGCTTTGGTCACTTCTCTGAATCTCATATTTGTATGGGCTTCTGTATGTATGAAGTTAATTTTGTTTTTCTCCTGTTAATCTGTCTTACATCAATTTAATTATTAGACTAGCCAATGAACCTAGAAAGAAGAAGGGAAAAGTTTTCCTCCCCCACATGATGATCAAGACAGGTGAGGCCAAAGACAAGTGAGTCATGAGCCGTTCCACAGCTATAGGCTTGTATCAACCCCTTGGCCTTTTACTTGTTTGTTAGTTGTTCATAGTACCAGACAAGGTCCTTTTCAACAGTTTTTCTCTGATAGCTCTTCAAGTACACTGAGCGTCCAAGTTTCAGATCATATAAAAATTCTTTAGGAGAAGGTTGAGGAATGTCCTGTAACTTTTGATGAAAATACTATCTGTATGCCATGGATCCCCTACTTTGTTTGGCCAGAGTTGCTTGGAAAAGGGCAGAGTCTAGGATTATGGGTGATATTCCTAGATACATGAGTCTACTTATTACTGACTTATAAAAGCAGAATTGAGGAAACTCCAAAAGAGATTTTCTTATTGTTTTAAAGTAAAAAGAAAGGAACTTGGGGTGAGGAAGTTTATGTCTTAAAGTTTGGGCTAAATAATTTGAAAATATAAGTTATCCTTTCTTCTTTGCCTAAAGATCAGATTGTATGCACAGCAGAGTTTTTGAGCAAGCTCTAATACCTTGTAGATCTCTTTAACGACATTTCTAAGAAAATGAGCATCTCTATTAATAGAAAGATAGATTGGGATTTCCCAAGTAGAAAACATGAAATTAAGTACTTTTTCAGCCACTTCAGAGGTATAGCTCTACAACGGGGCACTGAACAGGAATGCGCATCAACCAGAACATTCTCATACTCCATTGCAGGAGATAATTATATAAAGTCCATTTAGAGTTACTCAAGTAGGCCTGGGGATTCTGCTGCATCCATGCCTTTCCTTTAAAGTTTTGTCAGGGCTTTATTTAGTTATTTATTTTTTCCCAGGGGAGAAATACACAAAAAGTAATGTGTTCTTGTGGTTTGGGGTGATCTCTTTTGGATTTTAGCATGGTTCCACTTGAGGTCTTTTAGCATTACTTGGTACCCTTCTGAGAAGCCTGAGAGTATCTTCATTTAATTTATATGCAGGTCTTTCCGTTTTTTTTTTTTTTTCTTAAGATTTTGTTTATTTATTTGAGAGAGAGTATAGAGAGCACAAGTGGGGGAAGCGCATGGAGAGAGGGTGCAGCAGACTCCCCACTGAGCAGGGAGCCCAACCTGGGGCTCCATCCCAGGATCCTGGGATCATGACCTGAGCCAAAGGCAGATGGTTAACGAACTGAGCTACCCAGGCACCCCAGCCAGGTCTTTCCTAACATTTTTCCCCCCTGATATTAGGGTAAATTTTGACTTAAATAATGACTCTTATAAATCCTTTGCAGAGGCATGACAAGATTACAGTGGCAAAAATTTGTGTAAGTACTATTTTGACATAATGATTACCCAGGGCATTTCTACCTCCCTTAGTTTCTAGATCAGTAGTTGATTTTTGTGCATGTCTGCCTACATAATAGTTACTTCCTTTAGCTGCATTAAGGCATCTAGAATTTCCCCACCTTCTTGTTCAGGAGTTCCTACTGAGGTTAAGAAGCCTTGCTTTTTCCAAAGTATCCTACTGTTTTATAAGTTTTAACTATCCTATCTCTGCCTAGTTAGCGGGTTCTCATAAGGGCAATTAGTTGTGCCAATTTGCCTTCCCAACCCCTCACAACAAGGGTGAACCAAGATCTTTCATGGCATAGCCGCTTATTAATTTCTCATTTCTGATGACCCACCAACAAATAAATCCAAGTCTGAATTATCTAAAGCAGTTTCTAATACCTCATCATAAAACATTGTCAGTCTTTAGACAGATGCTAAATAGCCACATCTGTCTGTCTGTCTTTTGGTAAGGAAAGACATGACAAGGTGCAAAGTGTCATACTAATGTATAGTCATATGAGAAAGAGAAAGAAATAATAATAATACCTCATAGTATATAAGCCAGCTCATGAAGAAATACTGTATATTTCTAGTAAATAATGAAGATTTTATAGCTTTGATATACTCTAAGGATCAAAAAAGACCTCAAGACCTTCAGCAGAAGTCTCCACAGATTTCATGGTTTCCCTGTAGTAGTTTAAACACATGGGTCTGACTAGAATATTTATGAAGAAAGAGGTAGATAGACAGACCTAGTTAGGAGACAGTTTAGGAGATAACTTCAATTTGTAAAGTCTTTGTTTATGTTTGTGTTCCCTAAGCAAGAGGTTCTGTCACTGAGGGTTTCTTGGGTCAGTGTTAGCGTCCATAATCAAAGGAACGAAACTGATACAAAGTGAAGGTCAAGCGAAGCTTTATTTCAGGCCAAGCATCAAGAATCAAACTGACTGCTCAGGGCTCTCTCTCTTTCAAGAGGCGGCGAGGACGACAACAACAACCCCGACGATGACGATGACGACCCTTCCCAGCCTCACAGACTAACTTTTATAGAGGTGGTTGAGCCTGGCTTATACACAGGTGGCCAATGAGATTGCAATACACAGGTAAAACTGCACAGTCATGCTAGGTCGGCAATATGGGTGGCCAATTGAATTTCAATTTACCATAGTAAATATATGCGTGCCCTACTAATTGGATATCTCCACCCAGCCTGGCCTGCCCTTGTATCTGGGCTTTGCAAGTAAGTTCCTCTGGGAGGGGTGGAGTCAATCCAAGTTTACAATGAAATGGCTCCCTCTGGCTAACCAGGCCCTACAGTCAGGTCATAAAGAGAAGGAGCAATTTCAAAAAAGAAGGGAACTCAATATCTACAATAGTAAGTAAGACCTACCTAATCTCTTGAATTGCCCTTTAATAGTTAGCCAAGCATAGACCTGGATGGCTTATTGTCAATCCAAGATAAGTTATTTGCCTCTATGAGAAAAATCATGAATGAGTGAATGAATGAATGAATGAATAACCAACGATGTGCTGACCAAATTGCAGCTTTCTCTTTAGTACATTTTTATCCTTTTGGGGATCTTAATGAATGTCCTTAGCAAAAAGATCCTGCAGATCTTAATAAAAAGTCATTAGATCATGGTGGAATTATAAAGAAACTGGGAGTCCTTGAGATTCTAATTAAGGATTTGTGGAAGGAAAAAAAAATCACTGAATCATTGGGATATGAAAATACATGTGCACTGCTAATTTTACTAAGTAACAATGAACAAATACCAAATACTTGAATCCAAGGATATTCTGAAGAAAAAAAGAATGTAAGTTCACATTTGCAGATGGCTGGGATTCCGGAAAGAGTAGGATTTGGATTTTGCATTGTGAAAACCTGGACATAACTATCACGTAGTCCTCCAATCTTAATAAGTAAATGAAAGTCTGTTGACTTTATTAGATCAAAGTGTTGGTAGGATACACGTATTTAGACTGCTTTTTCTCTTAGTCCTTATAGTATGGACTCAATTTATTCTTGGCTTCAAGTTTCAGGTGGTACTGTGCAAACATGAGTAAGATGAGCATCAATCACTCTGAACCGTAATGGACTCTGATCCGTTAATCTGACCAATAATGGCAGAATCTTTTGCTCATATAGAATCAAGTACCTCATACAGATCTTTAAGTTCTGCCTTTTTTAGGGTAAGGATACAATTAAGTCTAATTCTAACTTTGGTATGACATGATTATAAATAAGGGAATCCTTAGGAATTTTAAGGAAGAAATCTGTGAAGAACCGAATGTAGCAATCTGAATTACATAATAAATTTCTCCATTTAATGTGGCTGAAATGGTATAAGAAAGGAGAAAATATGCTTTCCAGTCAAAGCTTCACAAGTAATTGCTACTGGCTGGGAGACAGAGTAACCGAATGCTGCTCCTTGGTTCTTTTGATGATTCCATGGGAAAGGGATGGACATGGTGTGGAGTTAATTATTGAAAATATAGCATCTGTGACTATAATTTTGGTTGATTATAGGTAAAGACCATTCTTTAAAAATTAAGGGAAGAATTTGAAATATGTCCCTATATTCTTCCTTGAAACCCCTTGTCTGCCAGATTTGTCCTTGCTTTTTCATTTTTTGGGCAAAGCAGAACAGTTATTCTGAGGTTCATGTTGTTAGCTGGACACTAATAGACACATGTAACTGTGTTATAAGCCCTATTATAACTGACACTCTTCTGAGTAATATATATATATTACTTAGAATTACTTATATATTATTTTATACACACACACACACACACACACACACACACACACACACATATATATATATTTAGTCCTCATAGCAACCCTGATAGTAGCTCCTATTTTTATAATAATTTTGCAAGTGAAAATTAATGAGACATAGAAAAGTACTGTAACTTGTTCAAAGCCATACAGTGAGAAGGAAGAGGAGCTGTACTTGAACTCAGGCAACCTTGAAACTTCTGTCTAGGCTTTTCCTTTATGGTTGATATTCTAAGTTTTCACTAAAAAATGTTTTCCCTTATATAAATCTATCTATTTTCTCTCTTTTTTGAGAATCCTCACATTTCTGGTCAATCAAGGATTCCTTCTCTGACTTTCTAACATAACTACATTATTACTTTTTTTCTTTTTAAGGTGTCCATTTAATTATGTCTAAAAGGTCCAAAACCAGATTCTAAGGGGGAATTTCAACACTTCTATCAGATAGCTCTACTATTCGGGTCTGTGCTGACTTTTCCCTCTCCATTATTTTGCACATAAATATCACTCTACCCCAGTTAATCTATTTGATAATTCATAGTGCTCTGTTTTACTGGTAACATTCAATAGCTTTCAAATAGCTTTCAGATAGGTTTCAAATAGGTTTCAAATAGCTTCCAGAAAGTACAACTTTGACCCAATTAATTTTCAGTAAGTTTCAAAGTTTAGTTGAGGTAGGCTTTATTTATGCAGCATTTTTGAAGCATATGTGACCTACCCATTCTTCTTCATTTTCCAAAGCAAAGTTTGCAAACTATTGGGAAAAACTGGTCTTTATTTCTGAACCTGCTTTAGTGGGTCTACACAACTTGTTCTTTCTTAATAGCACTTAAATCACTTTAGTTTGGATGTGCTCTCACAGATCTTCCAGTTCTACTTGTCTTACCCCAGTTCTCCTTATTTGCCTGACTTGGACTGCATTCTATTCATTTTGTTTAATGGTCTCTGCTCTAAAATGTATCCTTGTGTGAAGATAAACACTGAAAGATATTACATACAGAGACCACATTGAATTCATATCCATACTGAAGTGATTTTGATTTTAGCATAAAAATATCTGACTAAATTGAAAAACATATTAAAAGCGGTTCCATAACATTCAACATTGTGTTTATTCTAAGTATGTTGTTGAAAATATTTTTTATCATATAGCAAATTTCTAGGAAAATCAGAGGTTTTAGATATTATGTCTTATATAATCGATTTTATTTTCTTCTGCTGCTCCTAGACAATTTATAATTAATTTTTTGTCTTCCTTGAGAAAGTATGCTGGGCCTCATTTCCTAAATTTTGCATTTTCAACATATCCTTGCTCCTATGTTTGTTCTTACTTACTTATTTTTGGTCTCATTTTCCTTATTATAAATGCATAATTTTATATAATTTTATATAAATCCTGTTTATATAAAGGAAAATGCCTACATAATCAACAAGTAAATATTTTTCTAATTACATATTATGAATTCAAACTTTGTACGCTTTTGAGTTAATATCTTATTGTTATATATTTATACTCTGGAAATAGATATCTCTTTTCTATCAGAATCAAGAACCTATTACCCAGATTAGGCAAAATCTATAAACAGCATGCCTATCAAGTTTGGTTTTGAAAACTTATTTATGTTGAAATATGATACATATGATAATAACGAGGGAACTCAATTCAAGTAAATAGTTGTTATTTCCAAACTGATTTTTTTTTTTTTTTTTTTTTTTTTTTTAAGATCTCTGCCTCTCTTAAGATCTGGAGTATCTGAATATGACACCCCAAAAGGAAAAATGCATGATTATTTATCTCTAGATCCCTTCCTTCAAAAATAAATATTTTGTGTATCTTTTAATGTTCTCAACTACTATATATATATATATACATATATGTATATATATATATATATGTATATCTATATATATATATATATATATATATATAAATATATATATCTCCATGAGTTTAAGGGCACAAATTTGATTAATTTCGTCAAATAATAACCTAGCATAGAATGAGTTCATTTTAGTGAAATTACTAATTTGAAATGTTCTTCAAGTTCTGTTTTTTTTCTTCCCCCCACCAAAATGGCCTATAGTTTCACTTACCTGACTGATCCCACCAGTTATTTGTGTGTCAGATTGACAGCCTAATGTACATACCAAACAGTTGAAATTCTCTTTCATACATATTTTACCTCTGTCTGCCTTGTCTGTCAGTGAACACGTCTAAACTCCCAGTTATGCATACCCAAGCATATATAATGCAGCAATAAAATTAATCAATACCTATGTGTCCTAAAGAAATGAAATTTAACCCAAGTGCACCGTATTTCAGGCCCTAGAATAGTTGCACCTTCCAAGAATACATACAGAACTTTACACAAATACACAGAAGTCATAATCACAGTGTCACAGAATGGATCTGAGTGATGGTGTACACCCAAATTCTCATTTTACAAATAAGAAGAATCAGTGATTTTCTCTGCCTTTCAATGTATTAAAAAATAGAACTGAAGCCCTACCGAATTCCAGACATTCTGTACAGTGTGGGAGATACAGAGGTGAGGCCCACACAGTGCTAAAGCAGAGTTTAGCATGAGACGTAAACTGAGGGTCATAGTAAAGACAGAAGAAGTGGTAAAACCAGGGGATGTTTAAATGTTATGGAAGTAGGAAGAAACAGAAGGGAGGTGTGTTATATCATCACTGGGACATTAGGGAATGATTCAGAGGAGGGTCCACACTGCAGCTATTTCTTAAAGGCAGTGAGGTGAATGTGTGAGGAAGACTGTTCAGGCAGGAGGAAGGCTTTGTTCAAATGAGAGAAGTACGTGAGATCACTGCATCTCTGAAGACTTGCCAGTAGTTAGCATGGCTGGTGCAGAGTGTGTGTATCCTCACGGAAGGATAGGAAGAACATCTCCCAACTGTGTAACTTTAGATGAGTTTCTACCCAGTGATGCTGGCCTTTATTTTCTCATCTTAAGTTTGAGATAATGCTGTAAGGTATATTTTAAGTGTTAGCTCCACAGAAAGAGAAGAAGCTGGAAGGCAGGCAGGATACAAAAAGAACGTGGTCTAATTAGTTGAGGAAATCACAAATTATCCTGAATGTAATTAAGAGCCATTGATGAATTTTGAACACAAAAATACGTGTTTTTAAAAAAATCATTGCAATGGCAGTGGGAAGTTGATTTAGGGGAGAAAGAAGATAAAGGCCAATGTCATCATTGCTACTGACCCAAAATAATAAGGGCCGTGGGTAGTCATTGCAAATTTGACAGTACTAACTCGGGGAACAGGATAGATACTGGTACCATTAACTAAAATAAGGAAAACAAGAAGAAGAACAGCTTTGAAGGGAAGAGGGGCATTGAGATGATAATGCACAAGAGCCATTTTAAGATTACAGTTTGGAGCTTACAGGAGAGGTCTGGACAGAGTATAAGTGGGAATACCCATGTTAGATGAAGGAATAAGTGAGGACAAGATCCCTTAGACGTTTGTGTAACGTGAGAACAGGAGACAGTCAAGGACACCAGCACCCAAAAGTCAGGGGGAAAAATAGGAAGGAGATTGAAAGGAATGACAATTTTAGGAAAGGAAAAAACCAGGAAGATGCATCGTAGTAATGAAGGTGAGCCTTTTCAAAGACCCTTTCAGAGGTCCAGAAAAATAGGATTTGAAATATGCTCTTAGTATTTACCATTTTGGAAGTTACTGGGTTTTTCTAGAGCAATTTCAGTGGGGTAACAGGAACAGAATCCAGTTTCAAGATAAGTGTGGTTTGACTAAGTAAAAAGATTTCTGTGGTAAACAATTCTTTCAGTCATCTTGGCTGAGGAAGAAAAAGGAAAGTAAGTTAGGGATTTCCTATGGTCATACTTATGTAACAAAGATTTGATCTAATGTATATATTGAAGACCAAGAGAAAGGAGGGAGACATGTTAAAGATGCAGAAACCTGGAGAGACAGTTGATGGAACAAGGGCCAAGAGGAAATTTAGAGGATAAAATTCAGGACACAGGTTGAAAGATTAAATATAGACAAGAGGAATGACATCCTGACAGACAGGAATGGAAGTGATAAGAAAGGAGATAATTGCAGATGAGCTTATGGGTGACGTGCAAGAAGTTGAAGAAGTGTATGTATCAGGGACACCAACCGTAAAAGAATTATAGGAGAAAATAATAATTACTATTTATGTTTCATTTTGCTTTAAAACAGCATCTATCAAATGCTAAAGCACCATTCCTCAACTTTATAGCTCCAACATCTTCAAAAGACAGCAAGGCAATTCTCAGGTGTCTCATCCACCCTCTTCAAGTCTTACCCACATAAAAGCCTCACTCCTTTTAATTAGTTTTGGAGACATTTAGTAAAAAATTGAAATGCAGTTCCTGACTTCCACATTTATTGCAGTAATTAAAAAGATACAATCTGTTATATTTCAAAATTAAAAGTAAATTTTATATTTCACTGGAAATTGGAAGGCAATGTCATGTGGTAGAATTATGAGTTATATTCTTTTGATATTCCTTTTTCAAGATATATTACATTTCAGGATAGTTTCACAATTTTCACTTAGATCCTTTTTTTTAATAAACAGGTTGATCAGTTACAGAAAGATGAGCAATGGTCTTAAACACAGAAAGAAAATAAATAAGCTACAGTAAATAGAAAGCTTTGTATTTGTATAAAACTCCGCTCATTTCCATAGAGTGTCTGGGATATAAAGACTGAAAACAGTTTAATACCTCAATTATATTCAGTACAGTTTAAAGAGGGTGAGAAAGAGAGAGTATGGTCATGTTTAGGTTAGTTTATACCACTGATCAACAGAAAGAATCTGGAAGCAGAAAATTGCCTTTTAGACTTCCATATGCTGTAGGGTAAATACTTACCTTGCTTCTTGATTCACAAATGAGAATTGGTTTTAATCCCATCCTTCTTCCGGGTAGGATCTATCTATTGGTTTATCGGTATGCAGTCCTTGCAAGATTTACCCAAACAGGGAAGAGTAGTACTCCTCTTAGAGAAGGCTTCCCAGATTTGGAGGCCAGAAATCTGCATCTGTAACTTTGGAAAAGTTACTGGATCTTTCTAGGTTTTTATTTTCTTATCTGTAAATTACAGTTACTACTTAATGCCTACCTTGTAGCATTATTAATGTATAAAATAATGAATATATGGTGTCCAACACAGACAAGATACATTAAAAAGGGGGGGTTGTCTCAATGAATATTTCTTAATAACTACTGTCTCAGAAAAAGGATGCAGATCCATGGGCTTAGAGGGAATTATGTCAGAAAGGGATTAAGTCCCAGAGAATTTTCTGGTGGTAAATTACTCCCCTCAAAGTGATTGCAGAGTTCCAGAGACTGCTCAGTAGATCATAGGCCTGCTGGAATAAGACATTCCTTTGCTGAAGATTTAGTATTAATGCTTACATAAGTTATAGGTGCTATATGCATTTCTACTAAATAATTTACACATGATTACATGCAGCATTGCTTTCAATTTCCCAGTCTTATTATACATATATTTATTGGGCAAATATACAGACTTTAGCTGTGATAATCATGAAGAGCAAAATGGTACAAACTTTGAAAAAGTCATGTATTTTTTAGATTTCATAGTTTCAATATGGGCACATTTCAGTTACTATGGTTTAGTTAAATAATACAGTTCTCCAGAGAACATGGCCCAAATCTTAGTTCCCATGGTATATTAACTGTGATTAATTACATAAAATACATTGCTGCTAGCTATTCCATCCACAAATCACTGCCTAACAGATGGGCACCATGATTAGTTAAAAGTCACATCACTTCTTTGAAGCTCTCATGGTGATTGGTCACGCCACTTCAGTTGTTCAGTTCATGCACAGACAGAAAAATGTGTAGTTGTGTTGCCTCTTTGTTTCACAGTGATAAACTCATGTGATATTTTATAAAAATGGATAATTGAAGTGGGAGATTGACCAGACACATGAAAGAGCAGCATAGAAACAAAATGGTAACTATGAATATGAAATCTGAATTGAATGTAAATGGAATTATACTAGAAATAGCTGCCATTCATGGGATTCTAGGTGTGCAGCCAGAGAACTTAGTCAAGGTGACCTTTTTTTGACACAAATGAGGAAGGTGGTAGCAATGGAAAGCATTAAGATGTCCAAGCGAAAGTGACACCAGCTGAAACTCACATTAAAGAAAATCTTGGAGATTTTTGCAATATTGAAAATGTGAAGGATAAAATGTTGGAAACTGATCCAAATTTAGAAAGGAGTATGGCAATTTTCCAAGGCATAGAAAAGATTCTCCTTCCATATAATAAATTATATGAGAAGAAGGCAAGCACTGTTCAAATAACTATTCATGGTTTTGTGACAAACACTTTAATTATCAATGTTTCTAGTGTTTTAAGTGTTAGTTGACTAAGGAAATAATATTTTTGCTATTATTTTTTTCATTGCCCTATACATTTTTAAAAGTGTTTGTTTCAAAATATTTTTAACACCAAGAAGAAAATGATAAGTTTTCCCATTGCTTAAAATTTCTTTGTATCTTTTCAGTTTCCTCTCTCATTTATACAGTTTTGCACTACTGTGCAAAGCAATAACTACTTATCAAACACTAAATGTGATGATCCATCATTTTGTATGGTCTTAGCATTTTGTGAAGTATTTCCATACATAAGGAAATGTATAAAGTATTTTGTTACCACTCATTTAAAAAGTAGAATTTAAGTGATACGTATAGTACTTAATACACAACACTTGATAAATGTTAGTAGTTTCTAGTTATATATAATTCACTCAACATGTTGAATTCAATCAATTTACTGTTGCTTCACACTTATTACTGTGTAATTACGAGAAATTTACACATTTAAGAAGAATGAGTGATAACATGTAGGTCTAAGAATAGACAACTCAGTGACCGACCGGGTTCTAGGTCAATGGTTCCATTGAACAAAAATCGTCAGTGCTCAAAAGAGGGAAATTTGTGTGCAGAGACTCAAACCATTATCAAAAAAGGCAATTTCAAAATGGACCAGGAAAGTAACATGAGCATGATATATAGATATATTTCATACACTGGGGCTACTGGGCTTAGAAACCAATTCCTGGGGGATCTAAAGGAGAGGGATACATAATTAATATAAAATGTATCAATGGGATAATAGTAGGGCTAGAAGATTAAGATTAATGCAGACCCATTTCTAGAAAAGATGGTAAAACCTTTAACAGGAAGTTGTAGGTACACAAATTTAGTTGTAATCTAATGAAAATAGCTCTTAGTAAATCCTCAAAAACAAATTATAATCCATCCAAAAATCTAATGCTATTTTGAACTTTTTAAAAGAAATGCAGTTATTTACCAAAAGGTGGTGAATAAACTATTTTAAACTATGTTAATCGATAGAATTAAAAAAAAATTGTACTGAGCTCTTGTGATTTCCTTCCTTTTTTTTTTTTCCCTTCTTTTAAATGAATATTGAATAGTTTAAAAGTAGCTAGAATTGCATGGCAATTTCAATAAAACTACTAATGCTAAATTATAAACTGCAAATGTTGTATCAGGTTTTATTATATATAACTTTTAAGTCTTAGGTGGTATGTTTCAACCACGATATACTCAAATATTTAAAAAAAATTGAGACTCACTTAAATTTAGGTTTTGCTTTTTTTTCTTTTTTAAAAAAATTCTCAAAGAGGCCCCAATAATGTAGGTTATGTTATCATAGAGGGAAAAAAATCATATATTAAAATCATATTAAAAAGTATAAAACTTTTGAAATTAAAGCAAAAGGAGGCAATCTAGAGACTTATATAGATAGAGAAGAAAATAATTCCAGAAGAGTCCTGGAGAAAGCCCCTAATTTTTTTTTTTTTTAAATAAATGAAAGGGAAAACAAAGGGGAATAATATTTAAGTACCTATAGAAGGCCAGAGACTTTCTAAGCTTTAACTCACACCAGGAGTGGATATTATTGTTCCCACTTCACTAATGAGTCAGAGAAGATATTTAGCTTGTCCAAGGTCCTCCAGTGAGGACCAACTGAGGAATCCAACCCCAGTTAAAAATCTGGATTCCAAATCCACATTCTTTCTACTGATTCCTGTTGTCTACTAATACATATATAAACAACAAAGTGTGAGAATTGGTAACATTATTCATAATCTAAAAATAAGGCAGCTTGAAAAGGTGGAGATGAAGGATATATATGTTTGGACAAGTGAACAATTATAAAAAATGTAATTGTTGGTGACAGACATATTTGCTAAGTAGGAGGAGGTAGGTGAAAAGTTATTTTCAGAGTTTGGTCAAGATCTTTAGCTTTTTTCCCAAATGATTAAAAATCGTCTGTAAGACAGTGCTGTGTCATTTTTTTTCTTCCAGAAATTTGAACGGAATGTATGCCAAAACATTTGAGTAATCCCTTCCTCACTGGTATATCGTCTTTATTCCAGTACAGTTTTATGAAACTTAATTCATGACTTCAAATTTCTATGTCCTTTTTATTCTTTTCTCCAAAGCCATTTTTTCTTAGAACAATGGATCTTGACTACATAATTCCTGCACTATATATCACTATAGCTAGTGAAGTCTTAAGTTAGGTTTTACTGAAGGGAAAAATGCAATTGCATTTCTCCTTGTTAGGAGACAGTGGTGAAGAAAAAGGGAAATGATAACAACACAACAAAAACTCAAAGAAAACAAATGAACTACTTGACTTGATAATACTAATGATTCAGTAGTAGTGAAAGTACTTTTTAAAAATTTATTTTATCTTTTTGCAAACCAACTATTTGCTGATTGAGGCTTAAAGTAAGCTATAATAATTCATTGTGATAATACAGGGACACTGTGAAAAATATTCATATGTATCCCTCACATCTTCAAGGCCGGTGACCTTCCAAATGCTTTCCCTATCAAAGCTATTAAGAAGGAATAAATTATGTCATTAATAGAGTTGAATTTCCACGTCCCCTCCTATGGTTTTCACTATCTGTTCATTTCACTGTTCAGTAAGGATCTGTGAAGCCAAAACTATGGAAAAGATGTGCATTCATATATGTAATGCTGTTCATGTTTCATTTGTAGACGTGTCAAAGTAACAAATCCAGGATTTTCTTTTTGAGTAAGAAAAAGCTAATGGGGCAAACTAGTACTGAATCCCAGAAGATTACACAACATCGTGAGGATTCTAGCTGTCACTAGTATAATGTCCTAATTAGTTTTGCTGTAGGAGGTGCAGCGTGAGAGAGCGGGATTTTATTGAAGACTGTAGCCAACTTACTTCAAGTGTAAAATTTATATTGTCTTAGGCAATAGCATCAGGCAGCAATATGAACACCAGATGCAATTTATGTCACCATTTAGAGGCTATGTGTATTGTGCTAAAGTCACATTAACAACATTTTAGTCATTCTTTACATGACAGCTCCTGTATATATTAATAACAACATTCTAGACACATTATTTTTCCCTTTAAACCCCTCCCCAGCTGCATCTTTCAGAAATTCAGTAAATAAAAATAAAGTTTACAGACTTAGGAGAATATTGTCTTTCAGCGTTAAATGACAGGAGAATCAAAGGATACCGAAATTGAGATGTCTACTCAGGCAATCAATTTACTTTTACAATAAGCTTTCCCTGCATTGCAAGGGAAAAAAAAATGTATTTTTTTTTTTTTTTTAGTTAACTGATGCCTTGATCAAATACAATAGGAAATAAAATATCAAAATACTTAAATATATTATGAATATATCTTTACATACAAATACAGCACACATTATAATACATAGGTATATACATGCAAATTTCTAGATATCTCTGACATGTCACTGCTAATTTCTGTGCTAGATGGAACAATAAAAGGGAGAGTTATGAGAACCAAATTAAATTTTGATAGATTTTCAAATAAATGATCAGTTTCTTGAGGAATCCAGTTGGTTTTATTTTTGTTTTAAATTTTAGCTCTTTTTCTCAGTGCCTACCTACTATGTTAGGTATGGGGGCTACC